ACATAGTTTCTCAAATGCCAGGATGTAGACTCTCACTGAAGCTTCTATACAGAAAACATTGTTCAAAGAACTTCCAGTATAGCAGTTCAGGGTTCCATTCTGTTTCCATACTCTTTCACAGTGAAGTTTGATCAGGTATTTAGAACAGGTTGGAAAGTGGGATATTTCTTGTTTCTTTTCTGCAGAGTTAAACCAGGACTTTTTTTGGAGCAAGCATGAGATGATGTAAACTCTGAGGCAAGATTGAAATCTGAACCCTCTGTGGATTTGGGGCTGTAACTTTAATTATTCTGTAAAACCTGAGTGAGAAGCCTTAAAGATTTACAGGGTGTGTTATGTGGAACTGAGTAGTTCTCCCAGTTGGAAAGGATTTATAAAGGGCTTCTTTCACAGCTGCAGTTTTTGAGAGAGGAATTAAACTGTTACTAATCAAACTCATTAATTTGCATTGCTTTAGGAATAATATAGTGTGTGTGTGTGTGTGTGTCTCTCTCTCTCTCTCTCTCCAACTATCCTTTTCTCTTTCACTTCAGATTGAGCAGATTAGCTTGGAAAGCTTAGACATTGACTCTCCTTTGAAGATGAGGTTGAACTTCTCTGGGCTTGGTAACAAAGAACACATTCTAGAACTCATGCCAGCTATACAGCCCCTTACCAACCATGTCCGCTACATCATCTCCCATGGCAACGATTATGGCATCTTTCAAATCCATCAGAGGGATGGATTTAGTTACCTGCACACAGCTAAGAAAAAGTCAGTGCCTGGCACTTACACACTGGAAATCACTAGCATTCCTCTATACAAGAAGAAGGAACTAAAGAAACTGGAAGATAGCAACGAGGACAACTACCTCCTAGGAGAGCTTGGAGAAGTGCTCAGAATGAGACTGTGGATTGAACTCTATTAGCCACCTCTTCTAGACTTAATCCAGTTCTTGAATCACTTCTGTTCATCTATTTATCCACCTGAGCATGTCTACTTTTCAAAAGCTTTAAGGAGTCATTGGACTTAATTTTTTAAAAGGAAAAAAAAAAGACCTCTATCTTTCCACCCTGCCAAGACTACAGAATGACCCTTGCAGGAGGAATGACTGACTCTGCCATGGTCAAAAGTTTGATTACAAGGGCAACCATGGTTACTGTATCCTTTATATAACCTCAATTTAAAGTATATTAAAACTAAAGTTCAAGAGGTCAACACATGGCACTAAATGGCACAAAAATGTGAACAATTTTTTCCTGTTAGCAGTCTGTAACACTTTGGGTATTTTGCTATAGGTGCTAATTAAAAAAATATAGATGTTTATTTATTTTAATGCAGTAATATATGGAGAAATTACAAACTATGTAAACAAAAGGGAAACTCATTTGTTTTTCTTTAGATTTATAAATTTGAGCTATTTTAGAGGTATTCTTAAAAAAAATCCAGTAGATTTGAAAAAGGTTTCCTTTTGTGTGCCAGTTGTCCAAATACTTTTAAAAATACATTTCCATGCTATTACCAGTGCTCTTTCAGCTCTGACACCACCCTCTAAAAGACATTTAAAAGGATGCTTCAAAAACATTGACTATTCAAAAAAAAGTCTTAAATGACTTGAATTACAATATTAAAGATGATTCTCTCTCACTGCCTGTCATTAGGACTTTATTCTGTATCAGCCACACGAAATAATGGGAAGCTGAGGCACAACCACTGTAGCAAAATACCTTGACTGCTTGTGATACCATTAGCATTGCAGGCCAACCTGTACTGTATTTCCTTCCGATAACCTCAAGGTACCACATGTGCTACCACAACACCTCATTCTCACAAAAGGTGCTCTACATACTTGCATTACTGTAGGCAGCTGAAAAAAAAAAAGTATTTCCTTTGAAGGGAACACCTGATGTTTCACTCGGTTTGGTGCTGGCTTGGATTAATGGTGCATTTACTAGGATTGAGCTGTTTCAGGACTGCCATATGTGCAAACTAATTATGCAGTGCAGACCAGGAAAATATATTTGAAATCATTTTTTTTTTAGAACTTTCATTAATACTGTAGTTATACACCATATGCCTCATTTTATCCTAGCCTATTTTGTAAGAAAGATGTTTGTACATGACATTTAGTTTTCTTTAGCGATTTTTTTTAATGTTGTACCATTCTGTGTTACATGTATGTCTCCATGGTGCTTTTTTTTTTTTTTGACAGCTGGTGCCTGTAACTCGTCATAGAACAGAACCTCATTATGTGAAATAGCCAAAGCACATGCAGACTCCAGGTTTATTTCAGTCATGTAGCCATGCTGACTAAAGACTAGTTACAAGTTACACTCTGTTGGGTTTTTGGGAAGGAGAACCCTTCTAAATTTTAAATCAACTGTTTGTGAGATTTATATTTTTTATTTGTAGGTCTGTATCACTATGACAACACTTTTCTTGCAATAAAGCTTATTTTGGGGTAGGTGTCTTGAATTGTACATGTATTTTAAAAGAGAACACCTGCCTAACTGCATAGTTGGATGGTGTCACTAATGAATGGCAGAAACAGCAGTCCGTGTAGGTGCATTCTTCCCCTGGCTTGATACTAACTAGGTTCTTCAGGACACACTGGTAACTATGTTAAATATTCCGTCCTTGCACAGTGTTATATTTATCCCACAACATTAGAAAAACCTAATTCAAGTCTGTCTCCCTTATACTGCTGTCCATCGGGAGTAAGTCCAGTGAAATCTCACACTGACTTTCAACCTTTACCTATAAACTCTGGGTTCAGTATTTGACCACTACAATCTCAATTATTTTTAAACAATGCTTCATAAGTGTACAACATTAATTATTAAATGCAATGTCCTAGAATCAGGTGGCTAGATTCATAAAGAGACTTGGATACTTAAGTCCCAAGATCAGGCACCCCTAGTAATAACAAAACCCCACTTTGTCTGCCCAAAGAGGTGGCAGGGTTTGAACAGGGATCTTTCTTCTCATTGGCAAGGACTTGAAGCAAGGGCTCCCACATCCCAGGGCAAAAAGTTAGGAGGGAGGTCCCCTACCCACTTGCAAAAAAGTACACAGGCATCTAACTCTGAGGGGTAACAGCTGAGAATTCCAAGCAGAGATACACACAAGTGCAGATTAGGTGCTGTACTCCCTGAGAAGTGTTTAGGATCAGGTTTAGGACACATCCTCCCCTAGTATCTCCCACTGACTACCTTTGGCAGGGAGCTGCCTAGCATCCTGGCTTCTGTGAATCCCATTTTAGAGGTCTGTCTTATTTGCTGTATAAGGAGCCTGAGTGCCTAACTTAGGCTTTCTAAATCTCAGTGATTTTTCTAGGCACTAGCATCCTAAACTCCTTCAGGAATCTAACCCAGATCCTCCTGAGCCAAAGACTAGAACATTCCCAAAGAATCCATTCCAAATTTTACATAGAGCAAGTGCATGCTTGGTGCTTCAGATAATACAATTGATGGAACGTGAACATATGGCTGGACAGTAACAGCAGCAAGGATGGAGGAAAGCAGCATGAGACAGAGTACTGGACCGAGAATCAGGAAACCTGGATTCTGTTACTGTCCTACATTTTTACCCTGGGCAAGTTCATCTACATAAAGAAACTATTGTGAAATAGGGATGAGTGGGAATTTAGATAGCTATTCCACAATAGCCTCCCATGTGGATACTCTTATTTTGCACTAAGATTGCACTGCAATGTAATCCAGTTCCAAAAGTTAAAGTTCATTAAGCTAAACTACACATGGACACTTTGTCTACATGGCAGGAAAAAAAAGCGTGTTCTTAACTTGTTTGCTAACTGGGCTTTAAGAAATGGCACTGAAGACAACAGCTCAGCTTTTAACTTTTGTTAGTAAAGTTCAGTCCCTGAACTGCTAGCCAAAATTAAAAAGCTGAGCTGCCATATCTTCACTGCCATTTTTAAACCCCAATTAAATTTTTTCTTGCAGCGCAGACATATTCTCAGTGTGGAATAGGAGTGTCCACAGCATGAGCTATTCCAGGCAACTTCCTCAAGTAGCTAAGACCTTAAACCCTGTAGCTCAGATTTCTCAGTCTCTGAAGTACAAATGACTTCAAATGGAAGATGAAGAGACTCCACATCTTGCAGCACTAGCCCTACTTACCCTCACTGCTACTCAGAGAGAAATGGAACTTGGCTTTTATCATAGCATAGCTTTGACTTCTATAGTGCCATGGTTATTCCTATATTAGATGTCTAATTCAATAGTATTTAACTGGTTTTCACTAATATACATAATTGGTCATTTCTTTTCCCTAAGTGTACCATTTATTTCTAATATAAGATAGTGAATGGAATCAGTAATAACAACAGGTAGTAAAATACTGCATGAACAATGAGAATATTAAATTGCTTTTCCCAAGTGTTGGCACTAATACTGTTTGCAGATTGTTTAAGTAAAAGTCATGACAAGTTTAAGAAATCATGCACTTAAATTTAACTCTAGGGAAAATAAAGAGCCAGGAAGTACGGGAGAACCGTTGTAATAAATATTACCTTTTGCCAATTAGCTGCAAAGAATGATTGAGCTATTTACTCTTGGGATAGTCTTTCCTAAAATGTGCATGTGTTCAGATCCACGTGGCACTTGTTAGTACTGCAATTTAAATACTGCAGTATGAAATTACCTGGAACCAGTTATTTAACACTAGCTTTGGATATATTGTCATGGAAGCTGTATTAAAATTCAAACCTGCTCCTGGGAAGAGTGATTGAAATATACACTAGTGAAAGCCCATCTGAGGCTTTGCAAGTATATCTAGTGATACTGATATTACCATTTTTTAACTAGTTTCCAAGAAAGCTACTCATGCTTCCAACGTGGGAACTCTCCAGAAGTGCTTATTGCAGTAAGAGCCAAGAGTGTGAACCATGGAGAGTGGTTATCTTTTGTTGCTGATCGCTATTGCTATTTGCTTTCCATTATTAGCATTCTTGTTAACTGTTCCTTAGAGGATACAGCATTTAAGCATTAATGTATTTTATATGCACTACAAACACTTTGGGCTATATAATATGCTGAAATAGTGTATTTTGCGTGGTCACCAAGTGAATAAGATTTAATTATTTTTTTTTAGGGGGAAAAAAAGAGTACCAAATTCTGAGCTCATTTACCTATGTAAATTTTAGGTAACTCTACTGATGATACAGTGGGCACAAATTAAGATTCTTACCTTTTTACCAGTAGAGAAGATATAGCAAGCTTGGGTCAATATTCTCTATCCTTATAAATGGGGCATATGGCTAGAACCAGGAATATCTTTAAACAAAACAAAAAAATCCATTAACTGCACATACTATATTCCAAAGTTACACTGGTATAAATTAGCTCAGAATCTGTCCGCAGTTATTTTAACACCCACCCACACTTAATGCTAGTGTCTTTTCATTTTCAAATGATCTCTAAAAGTGATGGGACGTGATTAGCTATAAGCTAATGTAAAATGTCGATCCCCTAGAAACCTATAAAAACAATAATGCATGCAGTTAAAAGCAAGTTGAGAATCTCCCTGTTATCTAAAGGAAGTTGCAATATTATACACGTGTTGGCAAACTGGAGTAAAGTTCTGGGCCACACAGTAGCCTGGTCCCACCAACAAGAAATCGGTCCATTGCTGAGTGGTAATCTTTACCTACAGCGAGCAAGCAATGCTGTGTCAGAGTTGTGTGTTTGTTGCTGGGGTTTGTTTGGTTTTTACACACACACCACCTCCCCCCCACCCCACCCCCAGCTGAGCGGCTGAATTTTACATTAAAGCAGAAATTGTAAAATGCACAAATGTATAATAATCTGTTCAAAAGCTGCTATAAAATTTCCACGGTATGCATCCGATGAAGTGAGCTGTAGCTCACGAAAGCTCATGCTCAAATAAATTGGTTAGTCTCTAAGGTGCCACAAGTACTCCTTTTCTTTTTGCGAATACAGACTAACACGGCTGTTACTCTGAAACCTATAAAATTGCAAAGGTCTTTTCAAATGTAGGCATTATCCTGATTTTACAGATTGACAGGCTTAGGAAATTGAGGCACAAAAATGTTAAGTCACAAGACAACCTAGGACTGGAGTCAGGACTCCTAGGCTCCTGCTGCACTCACTGGATCAATTCCTACATTGGGTAGGGAATAGTAATTTACAAGTATGTCAGGTTTTTGATGCTGGATGAATTTTTAAATCCTAGGGCTAAAGAGACTCCTGTATATAAAACACAATTACAATGTGGAGGTTTTGTTAGATATCCATCAATGGCAGCACCATATCAATCATTGCCAGCTTTCCAGGTCACAGAATCAACAATATCATCAGAATTCCTCCTTCATCTCATGTTATTTCTAGCCCCAAAATTCACTCTAAGATCTTGTCAGCATCCCGTAACTATTTACCCACCCCCGAGGGAAAATCTATTAGGAAGTTGCCAGAACGCTATTTCAATTCCTGTGTCAGATAATGAACTCTGGGGAGGGGAGCTGAATTGTACCCGAGAAGATTTACTAGTAACAACAGGATCAAGGAAAGGCGCTGAAGCCCCTTTAAGTATTTCGTTTTGGACCAATGCACCAGGCTGACATCTGAGTACTACATGCATGTCCTCCAGGCCTACAGTACTTGGAATAAATACATTCTGGGCCAGCAGAAAAGCCAGAACTCTGCACATCTGTTCTAAATTTAATTTTCTTCCACTCCCATTAAAGTCCTAAACACCAGGTTGAATTTGGAATAGAAACTCTGGTGGATATCAATTTTCATCACTTGGAACTGTGCACGCTTCTGTGAGCCCGGCGCTTCCCTCAAGATTTTTTTCTGGGAGACACTTTTCAGCATGGCTGCTTTGCACCATTCTTCTATTTCTGCAATCCAACCTTATTTGGAGCAGTTACTTCATTGCAGCTTTCCATGTCCTATCCTGCCGTTCTAGGCTAAAGTGGTAGATGTGAAGAGAGGCTTTTAATTAATAAAAATATGTTGGCATCATGTAGGTTTTTAACATCCTGGTGGCTGGATCCTGCATCACTGAAATCAATAGGACCGTCACCATTGACTTACATAAGCCCAGGCCCCTAGTTCTCTCTGTATGGGGATGACGACAGGAAAAGTTCATATTTCCGTTATATTCTTCTAGAAATACGCTCACCATTAATAAAAGTAATCCTCTTTAGTGTTAGCTACTGCCACCCTGAGTTTCAACTGGACGGAGCAGGCTGTCAGAAGACCATCAATATTCTTCAGCAACACCAAAGGATTTTAATCAGAACAGTGAAGTAATTTTAGTTAGTGGAAAATGTAAATGCTTTCATGGACTGCTAGAATGGTACTTTAATCTGTTAGTACAATATCTATTTTTAAGAGTAAAGTTATTTTATTTATTACTATCATCAGCATGCTTATAATTCTAATGGTTTGCAGGGTCAAGATTTAATTAACTCCGGGCAAAATTTGGATATCTGTGATAAAAGTTGGAGGTAAATATCTGGATTTCCAGGCTTTTAGGCCCAAATCAAAGGTATTTAGGCACCTAACTTGCAGGAGAGCAACCAAACCGGATCTAAGACGAAAGATTTGAAAAAGTCAGACATGTTTAGTCTTGAGAAAAGAAGACTGAGAGGCATGGGGGGGGAAGAAGCCTCATAACAGTCTTCAAATGTGCTAAAGGACTGTTATAAAGAGACCAGTGATCAATTGTTCTCCATATCTACTGAAGCTACGACAAGAAATAAGGGGCTTAATCTGCACCAAGGGAGATTTAGGTTAGATATTAGGAAAAACTTTCTAACATAAGCTCTAGAATAGGCTTCCAAAAGAGGTTGTGGAATTCTCGTCACTGGAGGTTTTTAAGAACAATTTGGACAAACACCTGTCAGGGACAGTTTAAGCATACTTGGTCCTGCCTCAGCACAGGAGGCTGGACTGGATCACTTTGAGGTCCCTTGCAGCCTGACATTTCTATGCTTCTGTTATTTAAGGTGTTATTTAAAGTATTTAAAGTTGAACCACCACGCACGTACAAGACTGATTTTTTTAATACCCTCATTACTCAGCTAAATCGAAACAGATTTTCATCAGGCCACTGAAAGTCATCAGCTTTGTCAATGGTTTATCTTCTTGCCTAATTTAAATTTTCTACATAGAGTTTGGAACAACAGCTGATCAAGAGATCTCTCACATATTTTATTTATGAAGTGAGCTGTAGCTCACGAAAGCTTATGCTCAAATAAATTGGTTAGTCTCTAAGGTGCCACAAGTACTCCTTTTCTTTATAGGCAAAGTATTGTTTTCACTCAGCACTTACTTTAAAACAACAAAATAACTGCTTCATTCTTTCTCCTCCTTTTATCTTTCTGGAAAACCTGGAAAACTTCAGCCAAAAAATGAAAGTCTGAGAAAGTTATGAACAACTGATACAGGGCAATTTATAATGAAAACATTTAAGCAGCATGGGGCTACCATTACATCTATAATGCCTTAGTCAAGAGATGGTGGTAGGAATGTGATGAATGGGCAATAGCCATCTACAAATATCTGAAGTTTAATTCTTCATCCTTGATGTTAACATTTAACAAAATACAATGGGTTATTTAGTAGGATATAAATATAAGTAATATGGTGACATTATTCAACAAAAACTTTCCGTTGTTTATCAGAAAAAATTTCCTGACAGGCCTTTGAGTGTGCACGATCACTTGTGTGTACAAATGATAGTTTCTATGTGCAAATAAACTGCAATCAATTTTGCATGTGTACACAAATATGAAAGAAAATACAATTGATAATGCATTAAGAATGACTGTGCAAGTGCTTTTTGATGGAAAACTGAATGCACCCAAATGCAACTGGATATACAAGCCTATGAATATTTGTCAACTCTAGTTTTAAAAGGGCCAATTCTCTGAAAATCTAGTTTGGGGAACAACATATATTGGCAGGGGAAGGATACACTAGGACTTCTCTCCTACAGACCATCTCTAACTGCTATAAATCTATATTTTCAAGGCCATTAACTAGGACACAGTAGGCACCACTAAAGTCTTTTTTCTTTAATGCATATTATGTATAAGGCCCTTCCGTTTTGGTTTTTATTTTTTCCCCGGGGAATTTAATCAGTGTTTATTACTACAATAACAAAAACAGATGAAAACTGGTGCAAAAGCTATGGATTTTTCTGGGTAAATATTGGGCTTTATTTTGGTGGGTGGAAGGACAGGGGAAAAAAGTATTCAGTAGATTAATGCTTTGATGAACACAATTCAATGTGGTTTGCTGCAGAACTAAAACAACTCAAAACACAATGCCACCTCTCACTTTAAGAAAACAATACATCTCTAATCCCCAAATAAAATTTTTCATTTGAATAAACAGTTTACTGTTGTAGACTTAGAACTATTAGCCTATAAATATTTACATTTAATAATTGGGCCACACCATTTGCAGCGCATACACTCAACTTCATCCTTTTATCCTGTTTTTGTTTTTTAAAACTTTTGAATACTTCCTTGTGTTCTAGAACATGTTCTGATACAGATTTTCATTTTCTTCCCATTTTAGTGTTTCAAATCTGTGAACTGTTATCCGCTAACTGGTTAAAACGTGTACATGGTTGGCATGAGATTCATCAATACTCTCAGATGTGCATGCACTACAGAGCTTGCGTGCATGCCTGTTTGTTTATTGTGTGCATCTTCTAGACTAATACATAGCCTTATTTCAACAGGCAGCTTTGCATATACACCGACTACTGTATTATCGTAATACACATATTTCATGCAATGTATTGTATTTTCCTAATAAAACAAGTTATTTTATATATACATGAATGATACAAAAATAGGGTGAAAATCGGGGAGGGGAAGAATACTTTTTGTAAAACCCGGGATTTTTTTGGTAAAAATTGGTTTAAACTGAAAATGAAGGAGCTTAATTATGTGCCAGCTCTCACTGCATTTCAAATGGCTTTAAGAGATTTTGAAATAGTAAATGTTTTTCCCTCCCCCCATTTTTTGCAGTGTGTGGATGATCTGTTATTCATCTTGTTTGCTTATGTTTTTTCCTTATTACCAAAGAAAGTGTTGAAAAAAGCAGCAAGGCTAACGTGTACTGGCTGCCTCTACAAATAGCAGAAAATGAATGCTTCGAAAACAGCACATATTAGTCATTCTGGTTAGTGAAGAAAGCACCCAATTAACTTTTAGTATGTAATGTAGACACCTTCCCAAAGAAAACATGAACATGCTTTATAGACAGAAAGGGCCTGAGCCTGTACCATTGAC